TACGTTACTGAAAATGTGTCTTCCGATATATTCGTCTATTCGTATAGACGGTCTGCAGTTTGGTGTAATCAGAACAATTTATACTTTTTTTTATGCAACTTAGAATGGCAAACAAGCTGACGGCCCACCTGATGGAAAGTGGTAACCGTCGCCTATAGACACGAGCAGTACCATGGACATAACAGAGTATACTGTTTCGCCCATGATACCGCCCATGTGTTGCCATTCCTGAGGACTCAGGTGTTATTCCTCTGTACCCTGTAAATTCACGCCATCTTCCACCCTTCAAACTGAAACACAGCCATGCAAACACAACTGCTTCACGGTAGATACTGTCAATGTATGCGCATCAAGAAGGCAGATTGTGACTGAACTGTGCTGTATTTGTGATAAAAATATGCTTACTGATTCAGGCGGGCGAAACCGCGGTATACAGCTAGTCTGTTTAATATTATTATTTAAAAAAAGAAGTCTTATATAATCGTCAATCGATGAATTAACATCGTACCGTTAGTAAAGGAACTTTTCCTGTAAGGATATCCAAGTCATGATTTTAATACAATTGTTTTTGGCCAGGCCACCTTATTCATAGCTAATTCACAACGTAATAAATTGTGACACAGTTCTCTTCCTCAAATATACCATTGCAGTTTACAGGTGGGAAAGCATGGTGTTCAGTCTGACAAGATATATTATAATATTTTTGTTAATTCCTTAACATTCATAATCCATTTTTACTTGATTAGATTCGTAGATTAACCTCCAAATACGAATGTTCGTGTTCAGTCGTACGTTGCTTTGTCAAACTCAAATTATCTGTCGGTCTAATCAAATTTGTTTGTAGTAAAGTTTAAAACACATTAAAATGTCAAATGTAGCATAATAATATTAACTTCTAAATTGTAATGTCATCAAGACAAACGATAATTGTGTAGAAAACACAATAGTTGTATAAATAGTCACAATATTGAACGCTTTAAATGTTATATAGTACCGTTCGAATGCCTTATTATGCCACCCACATTCAAGATTTTACATACCTTATTGTATTTACTAATGAACATATTTGCAATCTTATGTCACTAGTAGCAGAGATCAAATTCCATTAGCAGGTCACGTTTCTGATCTGCGCTTTAATGACCGTAGCAAAGATGTATTGCTTTGCTTGGGGGATTATTTTCGATTAACAACCTTATAATTTATGTAATGAGATGAAATATCATAGTAGAATGATATGTAATAATTGGTTTAATATATTAAGTTTCCATGTATGGATTAGTGGCTATAATAAAAAAAAATATGCCAGTTTGATATACTTTAGCAATTAAATAGAGGTACATTAATAAGTCGTTGTCCTATAAGCTTCTATTCGAGTTGTTTCTAAAGTACCATTCTCTAAAGTTATCTTTAAAATTACATTTTTAATTGATAGTTCAGTTTTGTTTTTTGGTCTCGAAGGTTCAAGAATAAAATGTAAAATAATTCTATTAAAAATCGTTTATACCTATTGTTCTTTAGATCATTTCGCTGTAATATCAAATTGAAATTTTAATTTTAGAGTGGTGTAAGAAAACAGACGTACCTAATGATATTAAGCCGATGCAATCAATGCATTAAATGAATAAAGAGATCGTCTCAAGTAACAGCAAAATTGCAATCCACAGCCTCTCGGATTGCAAATTGCCAGGTGATTTTTCATATGATTTTTTATAAAACATCACATAATTGTAATTAAACCAAGCGAGCTTTTACCTCTAGAAAAAAAAAACAGAGTGTAAAATGCAAAGTCATTAAGGTCTGGGACAAGTCGATAAGCTGATTTTGGCAATGAGCTTTTCTTTTCTTTAAGCCCGGTTTGTAATTCGAAGTTGCAACCGAAATGCTAATTGTCTGATTTTTTGTTAACACTGAATACTATTGCGTAACGAGCAATCCAGAGTTATTGAGATTTTTGTCTCAGAGTTATTAAACTGACACAAACATAATTTGTTTCATAAGGAACGAAAGTTTATGATGTAAGAAAAGCCGATGTCGCTGAATTTCCTGATAGTTCTAATAGAGCTTTAAAAGAAAATATACCAGATCTAAAAGATGTCCGTTATTATAAAATATCAAATAAAAAAGATTTATCACATTATCAGCGCACAGATGTAGTTAACTATATAACTTGGTACAATAGGATGGTTTCTTAGAATAATAAAATATAACTGGGACGTTCAATGTGTGCAATTTATTTTTAAATTAGGAGACATTAACCAATCCAAAACTACTTCAACTACAAAAACGACAACAAATCGTCACTGTGCAACACAAAGAGCATGTCATTACACGGTCCGACGCAGCCTCCGACGATCAACGATGATGACTCACGAGCAACTGTTGTTATTCGCGTATCCAATGTTTCACACGATACGACAATAGCTAATGTCTTCCAAAATGTGGGCATTTATGTTTTCTTTATCGCCTATTACATATACGAGTAGTGTCATGCAAATAGAAATTGCATGTTCAAAAATTATTATTTGTAGCGTAAAATTAGAATTATTTAAAATTATTGTCACTGATAGAACTGAACTGAGAACTCTTAAAGGGATACTAATGAGTTCCATTTCACATTTTTAAACCATCTTCTTTTTTGACATTTTGATGTCAGTGGAGATAGTTTCCTGATTTCGGTACATTTGTCGCATTTAGCTGACAATACTTTGGGGCAAAACTGTCACAGACCATTCAGTAGCGAAGTAATTAGGTGTCCATTCGTTTCTTTGCGCCTTCGTAAATATTTCATTAGAGTTAGCTTACTATATACTGTAATATCTCATAATGTTTTAACATACTCATGTCTTTCTTCATCTATAGTCTACAATATCGATACTAAGATACTTTCAATAGATTATTAGATATAACCGGAAACACGTGTTTCTAAATTCAAATTATTCATTCCTGTTTGTATCCAACTACTTATTATCGCAATTACTGTACGGTAGAAAATTGTTTAATTATCAAGAAATCTATTAACTAAGCTCAGTGAACCAGACAGTCTTGACCTGGTTCCTTTGCAGTGAACAGTCACGGTCAGGCGGTGCGAATGTATTTTTTCCGTGTTCCTGTACAGTGGTAAACGTTATAAAAATGTTTGGTCATTTTGACATTTGTAAGGTGATGACATAAACGGATTTGACGTGTCTTTCTAAAATCAGCCCGTCTAAACAATTGGTAAAGGACTGTCGATGGACATGTTATTGTTACCGCGTGCTTGTGATAAAACGAGAGAGTAGGAGTGGATAATATGTAGCATTACCTATATATTGTAGTTACGATATCTATATATTGACTTAATAATAGATCTATTAAATACAATTGGTATTTAATAGATCCAGTATATAATATTGGTATGAAAAACCCCATCGAAATGGATTCGACTGGTATTGACGATATAGAAGTAGGTGAAGATGTTTATTTTTTCACAATCACGACATACTATGTAATATATAATATCATATTTAAACAAAATGTTGCAAGTCGAATATATATTCATTATACAATAAGTAAACTAAAACATTCATTGAAGAATTTTCTTAATAAGTTTTAAAATAACAACGCATAAAAAATGATAAAAGCATTCAAAGCGCGGGAAATATACGCCAAAACCGGTTCGACGTCAGGTGTTCCACCACCTGACGCCAAGGGAATATAAAACTGCAAGCAATAAATGAAAGGATTACGAAATTTGGAGAAGTTAGAAATTGTTCGGACGACTTTCTCTTCATAACAAATCTAATTAATTATTGCTCTCGTTTGTGTTCTTTCCAAAAGTGAAATATTAACTAAAGTGTAATAGATCTATTGCTTTTCCAATTTTGTGTCTTTCGAAAATTATTATAATTATTTACGAAAATTATATGCCGCTTAAACATTCTGTACCGTTAATTCTTTGTTCTCAAATAGCTGTCTTGTTATTCCAAGGGTATCTCCAAAATTTAAATCCATCCTCTTTAACATAAAGTCACTCAAATAAAGGTATATATTATATATAACTCTGTGCAAAATTCTAGATTATGAGACCAAATATTTTTTGATGTTATAATTGATCAGTGTACATCGAAATATTACGACTCTTCTTTTTGTATGCAATGGTTTTGTTATTCAAATCGTAGTGCCATAAACATAACGTTAGCTATTGTTAACTTTTGGCAGAAATATATAAGGTGATTCCCACCCATTCCAGTCACATGAAACTACCACCTAATTGAGTTTGTGCCGTATTATAATTTGATCATTCACCCGTAGTTCGTTGTCGTCCATTCCTTTTATAGTTTAATTAAATAGGTATTGCGTAAGTCGTTCGTTTGAACCTTTAATTAAAGTTGCGCATGATATTTTTTATTATCATTAGTTGGGTTAGTTGGGTTATTATCATCACGTACGTTTGGCCAATGTCAAATTTTGCACAATTAATGTCGATGAGATGTACAGCACTTGCTGATTTCAATATAATTTTGTAAAAGCAGCTTTATTTACGTATCACATAAAGTATATTGTATATTTTTGTTACAATTTGACGTTTGGACTTTCAGTAGCTATCTAACTGATTATACAGTAACTCCAATTTCAATTAACGCAACAAAGGGATGTACAAATCTATGTGACACTTATTTCTGTTCAACATGAGTTATAACAAATTGTATTTGCGTTGAATACAACATTAACTTGTTTCCATATTTTCTATTTTCAAAACTTCGTGACTAGTTCGAAGCATGACTCAGATAACCGCCTCTGAAATATCATCGAGATACGCAAAGTTAACCATGTATCCTTTATAACATATTCGGTAACTGTTACAAAATAGTTTGTGCTATATCTCTTTGCCATTTTGGGTGAATAATTGAATATGCAATTTCAGGTGTTATCTCTAACGTCACGTGCGGGCCTTTTCTTCTTGCTACCCCCTTTCCCCCCAGAAGGCTGATAACCGTGCAGGCGAATCGGCGCCGGCGCAACGTTGCCACCTCAGTCTCTCCCCGAGCGTTTCGCGTGACGGACCTGTCGCTCTTTATTTGTTTACATTTAAAAACTAATAAAATCTCAGTGATGTGATATTTGAACGTGCGATATGTGTGATTCTTTTATATGTGAGAAGGATTTCAGTTTAGTTAATTGTGAATACTTTTTTCCTTCTGTGCAAGGAATGAACCGATACCGTTGCGTCGCGCTCCGGTGATTCGGTTAATAACTCGTGGATCTACAGTGACTGTGTAATAGTGGCTTTACTAAGATCTAATACCATGTAAAGGTCACTTACCTTCATCCTCCATGTGAACAGAAAATTGATCATATTGGATGTCCTTCAGATTTTATTCGCTTGTGTATTTTGGAATTTTTTGCTCGGTTTGCTTTCTATCTTTACCAAATAGGTTATTTAGTTTTGTTACGTTATTTTTTGTTAAAATGTTTTGTTTCTTTATTTGGTTACTAGGTTCACCACTTCTACTTGGTGTTCTTGGTATTGATATTTTAACTCTACAATTTAAATATCTGATTTTAGTTAAATTGTTTAAAATTTATTGAATTTTTCATAGTCTATTTATAATACCTTGTCCTATCGGCCTTGTCTAAGGTAGATATGGACGTATAAGATATAGATTATCCAATCAGTGACATATTATCTGAAGGCAATACAATTAACCTTGCATACATAAAAGTGAAGCTTGCTATATCTAGTATATTAAAATTTACATAATTCACCATGTCTAATGAACTGCGTTTAAACGTATGCTAAAAAATATATATGAATATTAATTAACTATTAATTATTATAGGCGTGTGAGCTAATTTTGTTTCCTTTATTGTCTTTAAGCAGTACTTGTATATGTTACTACTATATAAACAAATAGTCTTTGAAATAAGCATGAAATATATAATATAGTCTTGTTTGCATGAGCTATACAAAACAAGGTTTTCCCGTCATTATTTTTATGCTCGATAGCTTGCTCCTCAGTCAGTTGGAAGGTTTCGTTTCGGCCAAGTGAAACGGTGGCAATCAGACCTTGATATCCGGAGTTGCAACATTTAGCTTATACTGTTTTAATGTGGCTCAAGTTATGAACTTTTGACTTTTAATGTCTTGTTTTGATAGATGTCGGTATTTCTATTTGTGTCTTAATTTTCTTTTTTTTTTTACGTGAAAAGTATTATTATGATATAGGTAATAAATTGTAAATCTCAAAATCTTGTTTACTACGAAGTCTATCAAAACAAACTGATCGTAGCCTTATTTGTTTTTCATCGACATGCATCATTGTTGGGTTTTGGCGTTCGTCCAATATCTTGCGTTCGTTCAAAATCGGTCACGTTTTAGAATTAATTTTCTAAACCGAAAGCAATATTCTAATAGTAAATTTTGCTCGTCTCATTGTTTCCGCGGAGAAAATTTTTAACGCGCCAGTCACGTATAAATAATTTGTAAAATTGCTCTGACCTACTCCAGCCCGCAACTTGTAGTGTAATCTAAACTTAACAACAAAAGTGGAATGATAAATTGTTCATTGGAAAATTCCATAATTATTTTTGCTTGTCCCTCGATATGAGAGGAGAAATTAAAATTTCTAGTTGCAGGATAACTTATTTTTTATATTCTTAGTAACTTGTTTTACTTACATTCCACACAAAATATTTATTTTTTAAGCGAATTACCAAATGAGCACGTCCTCGATTCATCCATATTTTTTATGTCACGCGGTTATTATTTCCAATTGTAAACTAGTTTTTATAATTTTTTTGCAATCGATTGAATTTGTAACTACGGGAACTGTGATCGTTTTTGTGGAGTCAACTACAGTTAAATTTACTTGTTGACACATATGTGTTTTAAATTTAAATATTTGAAATTTCATCGTTTAAAGATTAGTCTTTTTTTAAATAACAATATTGTGATTACCATTCTAATATCAATGTCCACACGATTGAAAAATCTCTTTTTTACGGACTAAAACAATTATTACAGTTCGAAGAATCGAAGAACGATTATAAAAGTGTTCATCATCTACCTTTAACTGTCCAATGCTAAATTTAGACCTCCCCCATAAAAGGAGTTTTGCCAGTAGTTGCCACGCTTGGCAAGGGGGTTGGCAACCGCAATTCGGTTTTTGGTGATGTTTTAAGAGAGACGCTGCTGTCCATCCCTCGACCTTTAAGTTCCCAAAGTCACCTTTCGATACCCACTAGAAAGGAAGGGGTGGCCCATTCTATGCCAGAATCAGACATTGGATGAATATATTTTTTTGTATATTCAAAAATCGCTGCTGACTTTACACTTATAAGTCTTCATTACTTTATTACTGCCAAGGTCTGAACCGGGTTCGCGCAAATGTAGACGGCATTGTTCTTATACAATTCAGTTTAGTCAAGTGTCGCATTTTCTTTGACAATTGCATCATAAGAGTTTTTCTGCGAGGCTACGAATTTGATTGCATTTGTTCATTGTATTTTAAATTTGCAGAGTATTTTTTTGTTGCTGTACTCATTAATTGAGCATATTTACCATCACTTACCATCAGGTGAGCCGCATGCTCATTTGCCCCGTGCGTTGTAAAAAAAAAATATTTATATGTAAATATTGAGATAATTATAGTAATTGAACTGCAATTGAAAATTCCTTGAATTTTATGTATTATTACAAAAAAAATACAATTAATGTTTAAGTTGTTTGAAGTTATATAATGACTCATTTTAACATTACTTACTATTAAGAAAATTAAAGCCGCTTTAATCCTCATATAAAATTATGTACGTTAAATATAGACAATACAGAAATTAAAGGATTGATAAGTATGCACTTGTTGTGTTGTTTTAGAAACGTCTAAATTTGATGGTTTCAAATTGTTATGATGATAAAATTATTTTTTATTGTTTTTTAATTTGCATCCGACTTCGAAATTCCCAATTAGATTGTATTTTTTATGTTTCTTTCTATCTTAATGTCTCATTTATATTTCTTTTTTTGTGAAACACAATTTTAATTTTAAATTAACTCCAAACAGTCGTGGCTTTTGTGAAATGTAGGCAAGTAGACTGCTGCGTTAACCACAACAACGGTTATAGGTACATTAACTAATACATTTATTTTTGTTTAGTTTCTTATTTTAATATCTGTATTTCCTTAACACCGTGTTACTAACGTTTATAGCACGTATTTCTGCACTTGTAGTATTTTGCATAAAATAAAACCGTTTATGGCTACTGCTTTATCTTGTAACACGTTGAAAACACTTGCGTCAGTGCACAATATAAAGTTGCAGTATTTACAACTAGTAATATTAAAACTATTCATATATTGTATAACTATATGACGTGTAACAATCACGGTGTTACAACGTTTTAGCTATATAATGATATCCACTTTCTATAAAGTAACCAAACTTTCGTTATACGAAAGTGTGGGAGTGCTACACATTTGGTAACCGGTCCCATGTCGTTTTCATCAAATTGTGTTTTAACAACAGTATTTTTAACATCACCTTAGAAACGTGTTTCATTCTTAAATTCCAAGTTCACCTGTGTCTTAATCTCCGAAACCAATTTGACGTAATGTTTAGTACAGCTTATAGTTATATTCTTATAGTTTGTGTTTATATGTGCTATTATGTTACATTACAATTGCGGATCTAACTTGTTTATCGGTTTGAATATTATTATAGTTTTGTATAATACGATTTATTTACATACAACTATCGCAGAAATGTAATGTCGCAAATTGTCATTTGTTTTCAATCGATATTTGAATTGTATTTAACTCACTGTGGGTTGCTCACGTATATTTATTTAATATTTATTTACTTTTATAAAAAGATACAGACTCATTAAATCAATACATAGTCAAATTACATAATATATTATCTGATTTTGTTTAGAAATTACAATTAAAATCATTAGTGTTTGTTAAGCACTTAGTTAAGAATGATGTCACAAATTTTCCGATTTACCCTCAATTTATATTGTTTGGATAAGATCAATCTTTTAATCTCAAACGTCATTTAAATTTCTCTCTTTTCTTTAATAATGATTAATTTGAAAAGTTTTTAAAACACTTAATCCCGATACTAATTGTAATTGACTGAATAATATTTTGAAGTGGCTAACTTTTCCTCGGCTCACGATAAACACTCGTTGGGTACGGTATTGTTATCGTTATCTACAAAGATACTAGTTGATAACGCCACGAAATCATCGGATGATGTCATCCTACTGCGATATCTGCTTTCAAATATAAAGATATTTTTATGAGAACTAATAAAGCCTAAAGATGGAGTTAGAGTAAGCGTGCGAATTTCTATTCCTTCTTTATTTTGTTAATTGCAGTTTAGTTTTGCGTTAAGAGTATTTTGCCAGAATTCTTTTATTGCTTGGTTGCATTCGTAAACAATTTTGTAAGTCCCATGCATTGTTCTTTTAATTTAAAGCTGTACCTAGTTCTATGTTCTAACTGGCGTTTCTTTTTATTATAATTACACTTTAGAAAATGTAACTGTTCTTTTTAAGAATTGGCAACTTTGAAAACGTTTTATATTGTTAAAAATTATGTAAAGAGTGCTATTCGCTAGAAAAATATTTGTGCTATGTTAGCTTGAGAGAGATTAATAGTGGTTATACTGTACAGAGTATTAGGTATGTTTTTTTATACTGTTATCACAGTTTATTTATGATGGTCATAGAGTAACTTCGCCGTGTAGGTCCCGGCATAGAATAGGCCACTTCTTCCTTTCCCGTGTGTGTTGTAAGAGGTGACTAAGGGAGCTTATGATCAAGGGATGGGCAACAGCGTCCCTCTTAAAGTAACATATAAGCCCAAAATATGGGAGAGGTCTATCTTCAGTATTGGACAATTAATGGCCGATATGTTATGGTATAGTGTAATTTGTATGTATGGCAATAGTTAATTTGACAGCTCTATTTAATACACTCAAACTCACCTTGTGATCCACAAACTAGAACATTCTGTGTTATGAAAAACCAGGCAGCTAACATCTGGGGCACGCCCATACTTTTTATATAAGCTTGTCTATAACCTCCGTTTTTTTTTATTGTTGTAAAAAGATACGTAATAGAAATATGTAAGCGATTTTCGTATAGATATTGAGATTGCTCGGGGAATAGACTTTCTTATTCAGCAGATTTATCGGACAGCTCTGACGTCACGTACCGAGGTAACACGAACCTGATAAGTGAGAAAGCGCCCCTGTGAGATTTAAAATAATAATAAATTATTTTTAAAGCAATATGTTTATTTTTGAAAAG